CCTTATTCTTTCCTTATTCTTTCCCCTATGGCTGAGTGCTAAAATGCATTGTATGAGAGTGGGAACAACGTTTTATTTTCCAGGTTGCTCGTTCCAAGTCTTGACAAGTGAAGAGTTTCAAATTGGATTGGGAGTCTTAAACAAAATGTTTTTGTAAAAAAAAAAAGAAAGAAAGAAAAAAGGGGGGCATAAACGTTATTCAATGCTATTCGTCATATTTATTTTAATTCCAAAATGGTAACACTGGGTTTATCAAATTAACAAAAAAATATTCACAAACTCTTTTTCCCATAAGACCATATTCAGTGTTTCCCTCCAAGGATAGAGTTCTGATTACCTATTTTTAACTGGAGGCAATTATGAAATAAAGTGCTCAAAGTAAAGCCACATTTTCTTTTAGCTGAAAGACCATTTACTGCACAATGTAGTTGCACAGTTTCCTGATTCTTCAAAGAACAAAAGTCATTTTTGTACACAATGATGTATGCACATTTCCCCATAGACAGGCTAAAACATATTACAGAATCACCTTAAGTCCCCAATCATAAGCATTTTTTCCAGTGAATAGTGATGTTGGCTTTTAAAGACTGAAACTCTACATTTTGGTGAGAAATCAAATGCCTTCATGGTATTTTAGTCTTACAAATGAATGATGCTTCAGTGAGATACATGTTTCACTCAATATACATAAATATGACACATAAATGGGACAGATAAATGTTTTTTTTTAAAAACACAGCACCCTGGTACAAGTTTGCAAAGTTTGCTTAACAGTTACACTTCACCTTAGACAGACAGTGGATATGGCAGACATTACAGTTTACAGTGCTTATGTCTGTTTACTTTCAGGATGTGGTAATTGAAATATGAAAATTTAAACCGAGAGTCACTGTATTCCACTGTAACCTAATCTGTTTAACTGTAATGTAATTCATCAATGTGTTCATCATTTCACTGTACCAGTATAAACACCACACATTGTCATACAATATAATCAACATGTCTGCTGCTTTGAAAATTAAAAATTTTCGACCAGACCTCTATAAACTATGGACCATCAAAGAGCTCTTTTCACATGCATTTGTAGTGGAGTATTGGGAAGCAATGATAGATCGTCCGTGGGCACAAGCTAACTGCTTTTGCTGATACTGTTTCTCACACTATAAAACTGTTTGTGATTCATGTCCACAATTTTTCACACAGAACCAAAAGTTACACACTGTTACAAATAGCTAGTATAGTAAAAGCTCTGTACCGTATTTTACAAAAGGTATTACTGTCACCAAAACATTAAAAGAGCCTCAATACCAGAAGCATAAGAAGTGACATTTACTGTATTTTAGTGCAGATCATTTACAAAAAGGGTTGGTACAGCTCTTATTGGAACAACAGAGTAATGCTGTATTGTTGTTAAAACTGGGCCCAAGACCAACATGTCTTATTATATAAGTTAAACACATACGATATCACGAACATATTCGTGTCTGTCTTTGATTTTATAAAAAAAGAGTGGTTTGTTGCCAGAAGTGTTATTGTCAAAAATGCATTTGCACCACATAACACTGGACGAGTCTTTACCATAATCAGTTTTCCAGTTCTCCCCTGCTTTAAATCAGGAGGAATAGAAAGGAAAAGGGAACGCAAAACAATTCTAATGCATTGTGTGTAAAGGGACCAAAAGTGATTCAAAACTATTGCATGTCTTACACAAGGAAATCACAAGAATTGCATTAAGGCAAGTGAAAATGGTTGAGAATATAATGACAATGACCAAAATAATGCTACAAACACACTGAGCAAAATATAAACAAAAGGAAAGAAGCATTTTTTAAACTTAAGTATAAAGTACAGCATAATTCTACAAAATCAATGTATTGCAGCATAATTTTAACGTGCACAGACACTGTGATTGAAAACTACCGCATTTTTAGGATTGCACAGAAATAAAGTGATAAAAATTGTTATGTTTTTATGAATTACTGGCCTCAATCTGATCCAGATGTTTAGGAAAGGTCTGTGTGTCTGACCTCAAGGTTGAAACATGAATGAGCTAAGTTCGTTACACTCATTTAAGTGCTGAAGAATATCAATCCCCTCTTTACATTCTTGTTCACAAATTCCCAATCACACAGACACGCTATTTTGCCATGTCATCTCTGAGCAATGGGAACCATGTTTTTTTCCTTTCCAGCTGCAGCAGACACTCCCACATCCTCAACATTACTGGAACAATGGTGATGATCTGTCAAAGAAACATGACAATCCGGTTCAACATATTGATAGGAAAAGTGAGATGTAAAAAGTTTATCTGTCTGAGGATCTCAGCTGCAGTTTACATGGCCATATCCAGGACGCTGAGATAGCAAAATAAGTCTCTGAACATCTCTGTGCCTCGGAGGTAAGTTGACCTGCTGCAACAGAGCTCAACTGCCTCTTCTCTCCTCACTCAACTACCAACTCCACTGTTGTCCAGAGACACTTCCCATTCCTCTGTCTTTCTCCCCTCAGTGTCTGAACCTGTAGGAGATGGGCAGAAGCAGGTTATTCTTTTTCAGGGCCTGCACCCTGCTGAGTGTCTCCTCATCCAGGGCAGTGTAGCAGCGCCGGGCATAGTCCAGCAGCTTCTCCTTGGATGGGTCAAACTCACCCACCTCCGCCACCTTCTCTGGGGCCACTAGTAGCAGCTCAGCAATGGGTGTGGTGGAAGCCACCGTGTTGCGGTCCACACCATGAATTTGGAAGGCTTTGGACATATTTTTCAGACGCTGGTATGTAAGAAGGATCTTCTTGTAGCGAAACAGCACACCAGCAGCATCTTTCACTGAAGAACAAGAATGTACAAGAGAGTTAGGTACAGCAGTCTTATAACAACTATGGTTGAGTAATTCAATTGAAATGTGTTGTTGCAGGATTGTGATCCTTCCCCTACCTCTCTGCCGCTCTCTAGGGGCTCGGAAGACCCGCCTCCTTTTTAATTGGTGTCTGTTGCTGTTAATGGTATCCGACATTACATCTTCCCCTGATATCATTTCCTCCTCCTCGAGGTAGCCATCCTGCTCCAAGTACTCCTCAGATTCTCCCAGGAGTGAAAGTGAATCTGATGAGAGCATAAAACATTTCTTAAGCAGAACCCACCAGATTGCCTCCGGCTAATAGGAACATTGTTTTCCCTCCCAAGTATTAGATCAGTTAAGGAGAATGAAAGCTTTGTACCATTTGTATTACCTGGACCTACGTTGCTATGTCCACTCATTTCATTCATGGATGGCCTTGTAGCACTGTTGCTGGTGCTGCTGCTGCCGCTGGCTGTGGTACTGGAAGTACTATGGCTATGACCTTGCAAGAGAGCCTGGGATTGTGTAGAGTTGAACAAAGCATTAATAGAGGCAAGTTGATTTGTTAGTGGACTGGAGACATGGTTTTTGGAAGGCACCATGGTGGGAGGACCAGGCCTTCGTTGGATAAACGGGCGTGAGGGGAAATGCTGTGAGTCCGTCTTCTGTTGCTCTATAAAGAAAAGAAAGCCATAATAGAATCTGCAATCTAAGATGAAATACATATATACAGTAAAGCATGAACAGGCTACACTTCAGCACAAGTACTTCTAACCATGAGTTAGAAGTGCAGAAGTATTTGTTTTTACCAGCGGGACGATCGTCCTCTCTTCTTGCCCTCCAGTTGAACCGTCTGGATTCATAACCTACAGAGACACAAATACCAAGAGGAAAGAGTTAGTTTCCATCCACAGAGACTTCCCTTCCCTTCTGTTTCTAATCAACTTGTACTTGAATTCTTGTCGGACAGGTCCCGTCCCCTGTCCTCACCGTTACTGTACTGGCTCTGACGCTGCTCCTGTCCCTGGCTTTTTGTGGAAAAGATGAAGCGGTCCAGCTGGCAACGGAGGAAGTCCCTCTCCTCTTCCAAGTCCTCAATTCTTTTCTGCAGCCAAGAGTTTTTCTCCAGAGAGATCTGTAGCTGGGTCCGCAGGTTGGTGATCACCATGTATGAGTTGTTGACTGAAGACGGGCCAGCAGATGGGGGTGACTCTAAGGAGGACAGACAGGAGAGTTTGGGAAATCGTAATATTGTATATCAAGAAACTGTGAAGTGATATGTGAAGAATGAAATGAAAGTGAGGTTTATAGTATTGACTCTGACGTTCACCATCAAAATTCTGATCAGTCTGGTTGAAAAATCCTTGCTGTTCAAAGTTGTTCTCTTCATAGGGGATGGCAATTTCATAGGCGTCCTCATTTTTCGGAGCTGCACAGGAGAAAATATGCACAGTATTAATTAATTATGATGCCTGACCTACAGGCAGAAAATCCTATTTATTAGTAGCCTTTAAAACCTTACTCTGCAGGTGGAGTGAGCCTGCATGGCTTTTGGATGTGGAGGCAGCATCAGTCCTGTTTCCGTCCTCCATCTCATACAACAGACAACGTGAACAAAGTTTAATTAGTTTAAGGCTTTAAAGAAATGTCACAGTTCACCTCTGTTTAACTTTCTGGGGCATTTTACACTCATGCAGTGCACAAATGCCTTCACTGTATATAAAGCGCTTATAATCACTATCATTTACAATAGGTACAGTTCCCTGGGAAGCTTTCATAATGTGGACCCTAACCCTTTGCAAGCTGAGACAACAGCCAGCAAACCAAAGCTAATTTTATTGTGTACCTCTCTGGTCACGCACGTATCAGTTGAAACAGTACAACTTGGTGTGTTGTTCAAATATAAGTTTTGTAGCGGCCTGGAGTTCACATTAGCTCCGCACTACGTTAGCTTGGCATAACGTTAGCAAGAATTTAGCTACGATTATAAAATTGCAATTCCATCCTTTCTGTACACTTCGCTGTTTATTTCTGTCATTCAGACATTACTAGAATCTCTATTCTACCAACATATTGTGCAGAAACTGGTACATACCACTTAACGTTTGTAATAACTTAATCGTGCACATGTATTAAGACGTTATTACTCTGTCATATCTCCATTCACGAGTCCGTCTGCTAGCTAACAAGCTAACAATAACAATTATCGCTCTTTTATTTTTTCAGTACTCTCTTGCGTCATTTCCGGATGTAATGAAATTAACGGTCGTGTTTAGTAAACACAACAATGTAAACATTACTGATAAAAAATAAACGCTACAGAGGCTTTGTTTGTACAATTTATTTAGCTTATGACAATATTTAAACCGGTGGGTCTTTTAAAAAACATATTCAAAAATATTATAATGTGTAAAAAAAAAAATATATATATATATTATTATATATCTTGTGTACAATTAAGTAATATATTCAGGAGAAAGTCCCTTTATAAATACATATTAGTCTCGAAAATTTTAATTCTATGAAAAAATAATTAATAATGTGCAGCAACATTTTCCACTGTCAGGTTGGTTTGACAGGCGCGACAGTGCAGGACAGGTAGAGCAGGTGAGGTGTCAGGTTTCACTGCTGACTGGTGGCTTCACACAGTGGATCCCGAAAGACTCGGACGGTTTCCGCTGTAAGCACGTCTGAATGTTAACTACTTTTAAACTTAGGAACGTCACGGTAAGTGGGATTTCTTTTTTTCCTTTAAATGTGTTCGTGATAATATAGACATTGCTGTTATTGGTCTATATATGATCGTTTGAAATGGGTGTGGCACCTGATTTGACTAGAAATTCATGTTAAAACATGTAAGAAAACAGAAGCCAGTATTGTGAATTATGAATGTAAAACTACTAAAATACTAATTTAGTTCAGTAATTAGTTTGTACTTGTCTGTTTTTATTTTGGAATTAGAAGATCTTTGATATGATGAAGTCCACATTTTCATGAGTTCATCCTCCCTTCTCCTTTCCAGTGCAATCATGGCAGCCAAATATGATGGCTTGTCCCACTGTAAGCTGGCCCTGGTGTTCGCTGTGCTGATGGACCTGTTGGGTGTGACATCCCTGCTGCTGGGGGTCTTCGCTCCACTAGAGATTCAAGGCAGAGACTTTGGGGATCTGCTGGTGTACACAGGAGCCCTGCTGATGCTAATGTCCCTGGCAGGCTGGGTCATGTGGTACAGTGGCAATATTGAGGGTCTGACATCCAAAAAGGAGCTGGAGGGAACCGTGGGTGGAGCTGTGGACCGCCTTGCCCGGTCCCTAAGCCGCAAGATACGGATCCCAAGGACTCACAGCAGTCCAACATAGGAGGTGGAGCTCAAAGATACTAATGACTAACTGACTGACTGTTGTTGTATGAAGGGCTGTCCTTAACTAGGCAGCAGGACAAACTGCCAGAGGCAAAGGAGTGTCGCTGCTGGTTGTCATTCCCTTCACAAACGCTTATTGTGGAGTGAACAAACACCTCGTTCACAAGAAGAGAAACCTGTCAGTGTATTTCGTTTTGTTTTCTCAAGAAGAAACTTCCTCACTGCCTAAAAAGTTGTGTGCAGACTACAACGTAATATAATATGCACTACTACAGATTCCACTATATGAAGATCAAAGAGATTAAATCTGCTGTATTGTTTTGTTGATTTCCACTGCAGTTATTCTTTCCTCTATTGATGTAACAGTGTTTTGTTGCTGCACCAGATTATGGCAAGAATTAAAGTCACCTTATTAATCATTGAAGACATTTTTATTGACAATAATCATGTTTGCACAAAGTCAAGTCAAACAGAATACTTAAGTCTTAATTGTCTTTCCAGGATGGATAAGGAGCTGCTATGACATCAACATGTGTGCACAAACTTGTAATTTCACATAAATACTGCATAGGATACTCGAAAGAATGTCTCTCCCTTATTTTACAAAAGATACTGAAATCAAATTAAAACATAAAACAAAAAAAGACACCCAAAGACAAATAACAATGAACCGATTAAGAAAATAAATAATTTCTAAGGACAAGCGCTGAAACTGTTCATTTAAGACACCCATTTAAAATGGTTGTCTTTGTAATCGTTCCACACGTGATGTGAAGGGGGTAGAATATGAAAATAAATTGCAGAAAACATCACAATCAAAAGAAGTTATCCCCAATCTCAAAGCAGCATCAGGAGATAGGAAGTGTCTGATTGTCTTTACGCAGAGAGAAGACCAATACATGTTTCCAGTTCACAGTTAACAAAGTATGTACACAGCAGCTTCAAGAACAGCCACATTATTAAGTTAAACTTTATCATATAGAGAGACCCGGTGTCTTCTTGATAGAATGAACATCAACAAAAAATGTCTGGTAGAAAAGTAGATCAGAGAGCCGCTGTATGTCAGGGAAACTGAATGCATTGTTAGTGCAAAGGTAAAATGAGCCATCAGGCAGCTGAATTACTGACCAGTTCTACAGAAATGATATAAAATCAGATGAAGGCACACAGTAAGGCATCATCATCCATTAGGATAATCCAGTCAAAAGATAGATGTACAAAATTAATGAGGTAAATAAGGATTGAGCAGTATGTATCATATATATATTTTTAAGAGGATACTTTTATTGCTGCCACATTGAGACATTGGTTCATCCAGTTCCATGAATGCACCGTTTTCAATGTTGTCTCAAGCTGTGCTGGTGTACAGTACATGTCTGCTCCATCTTTATCTCATTTCAAAATGGCAGAACTAGGAGATGAACAATGTCAGAGGGCAGGGCTGGGCACAGAGAAGGTGGGATTCTGCCAGATGATCATGTGACTGCGTTCAGACCGCCGAGGTGTAGCTTGTGAGGACTCAACCGACCCCTCACTTTCGTCATCACCTGAGTAAGTGGATGGCTCAGTCAGGCATTTAATAAACTAAACACTTACTAAAAGGCTGATCCAATATGTCAGACAGTTTTAAACTATTTGAAAGTACAACGGCGTTTTCCTTCAACTCACCAATTCGGAAGTTGATGTAGCCCTCCCCTCCACTGAGGATGAGCTGAGAGGTAGTGACGGTGCTGCTGCCAGGAGAGGTGATCAAACAACCTGTGGGCCAAAGATCATTACATGGTCACTAAAAGACAAATACAGCATGTAAGTGATTCAAAAGGATCTCCCATGATAAGTTATTGAAAATGTTTCAATCAGATTCTTACCAGGAGCAGCAATGATGAACCGGACAGCTTGTCTATGTCCATGGTAACACAGCTGAGCTGATGCAGTGGAGCAGTATGGGATGGAAACGGCCTCTGATGCTGTAGACGGTCATTAATATAGTAAATACGAGATAGAGCACATTTCTGATAATATAAAATTCAAGTACCTGTGCTCTCAATCTAAATAAAACTCACTTATGGATAATGGGATGGAGAAAAGGGCACCACCTCCTGTGCCAACCCACAGACGGGCAGAGATGACTGTGAGAGATGAGATCTGGAGAGGCGAGAGTGTCAGGAAGGCTTGGCCTGCAGAGGGAAACAGACACACGTTAGCTGAGCTGCAGGAAAGAGCTGTTGCCTGGCACAAAACAAAAAATTATACATTCTATATCTGATTTCAGATATGGTGACCAATAATAAATCCAGCATTTGTAATCCATTGATTTATGTTTTAATCCTCTGGCTCTGGACCTTTTGTCAGTTTGATTATTAATTGCTGCCAAAAACCGAAAGAGAACCTGGAACTAAGAACCACAATGGCTAAAATATATAACTGTTAAACATGTGAAAATAAAGGATTTGCTAAATATCACAGGTTGAAGTTCCTTTCCCCAAAGAGAAAATTGGGAACATGGAAACAAACTGTTGTATTGACATCAAAACACTGGTGGGAGCCAAAGCTTAAACTGTTTGCCAACCTTATAGGAAATGACTACACTATGCTGAAACACACTGTAATACTTTAGATTCCAGAGCTAACAGATAGGCACACTGTATATGTCAAACTGTGAATGTATTATTGTTACAGTAAAAATAGAGTTATGTGTAATAAAAGAAAGAGTAAAAAAAAGTTTAAGCACCTAATGTTTTAGTGACCAAAGCAGTAAAATCGACTTGCTGCAGCGGCCGTCCTGTGGACCAGTCAAACAGCCTGAGGATTGGGTCAAGTCGGCAGGATGTCCAAACACCGCTTCCACCTGCACACAGGAAACGGACCTGCTGTTCGCTGCGTTCAGAGACTGCGAATGTTTGCTGTAAGGTCAGATAAGGAATAATGATGGTGAGCTTAAAGACAGTGTGAATGTGAGTCAATGTGGGTACCTCCTCTTTTTCTTACCTCAACCTTCTTGCTGTCGATGTCAACCACAAGGACTCTGTTCCAATATCCCACCCACAGGCGGCTACCTTTTGCAAGGCAGCAGCGAATTGGCTGCAAAGGATTTGATCCAAGAGGCATCACATGGTGTGACTGTAGATTCCAGCCATCTGTCAATCAAAGCACTTATTATTTTATTATTAACGCCACTAAACAGTAGGGTTATGTGAAGCATGAAAAAGGGAGAGAGAGATTAACTGAGACAGTCAGATATTACTATAAGAGGAAACCATTACCTGAACTGTGTGAGAAAAATGCTAGAGTCCCATCAGCTAAACCAGCTATAACTTGACCCTGGGAATACCTGTCAGATTGAGTCAACAAAAAGCAGCTTATATTAATATTTTAAAATATTTCTGTGAAAATAACACAATGCCACATAAAGACAGACAATAATTATTTTAATATAATATTAAATGCAAGTTTAAAGGACCAGTGTGTAGGATGTTGTGGCATCTAGCAGATTAGTTGCAGGTTGTAACCAGCTGAGTATCGCTCCCCTTCCAAGCGTGTAGAAGAAACTACAAAATTTGCACAAAATAAATGCTAAAAGCTCTATCTAGAGCTAGGGTTTAGTTTGTTCTGGGCTACTGTAGAAAGATGGTGGTTCAACATGACGGCCTCCATTGAGGAGGACCCGCTCCCTCTGTAGATAAAAACAGCTCATTCTAAGGTAACTAAAACACATCAATCCTTATTTTCAGATGATATATTATACACTAATGAAAACATAATTATGCATATTATATTATATTTCTGCCAATACATCCTCCTAAATATTACATACTGGACCTTTAATTACTAATACAAATATTCTTTAAACACAGAGCAGATAAAACTCACGTGAGCGAATGAACTCCCTCTGAGAGGGAAACTGACTGCAGACAGCGCCTCCTGCCAGCAGAGGCTGAGTGTACCAGTACACTGTGAGACAGAGACAGTGGGAGAAAAAAACAAGGGGAAAAACGAAGGAGAGAGCAGGTCAGAATGCTTTACCAACAAGTATTTTCCTCAGACAAAGCGTTATTTATTGAAGTAAGCTGCTTATTCAGCAAACACTACCTTCCTTCCTGAGTTCCAATCCACACAGTTCCTGCAGTGTCACCTGACATAACAAGACAGGAAAGTGTCAAAAGCAAAGGTCAAGTAAGTGCTGTTGCTTTGCAAATGTTTCCAGTAAATGATCAGTATGGTATGAGGAGATAATACGAGTACAGAATACATTAGACAAGTTGTCTGCTGCTGCAGCCCATTGTACTGGCACTGACCTATGGGAGGCACAGCACAGATGCAGAGGGCAGGAGCTGTAGGAGGGAGGCTGAAGTTATCCAGTACAGTGTTGGACCGTGCTGGATCAATCACTGTAATATCGCTGCTGAAGGCAGGTCCAGAAACTACCCACACAGAACACTGGCAGACAAGGACGGATATGGAGTTTGGAAAGATGAGTGGCATGAAACAACACGTCCCTGGGCAGTGTTAGTTACGGTTGGATGGCATTGTACATGGTTATTAGAGTAGGAGTTGCTATTTAACCAGGATAATAACAGACTTACTGTGGCCTCTCCTGAGACCTCAGGTGTGACAGCAACTGCACAGTTTAGCTGAAGAGAGAAATAAGTTAGGAACCTTGTTTAAATACACCGGAGGTATGATGTAAAGGCTGCTTGTGTTCAAAATGTTTTGAAGTGAAAAGAAGATCTACCTTAGCTGTGGAATCTCTTTGATCCAACAGTCTGAGCTGCATTAGGACAGGCACATCTTTAGGCTCTGGTACAGGTTCGTTTGAGTCCTACAATAATGACAAAGACATTGTTAGAGCTGTGGAAATGTACATGTCTAGGTATGTTAAACTCCCTGCGTAAAAATCTCATCCATCCAGTGCAGTAGGATGAATAGAAGGCCAAGTTTCTTTTCATTGGTTCAGTTCATTTCTGTGCACCTATGTGTGCATTTCTACTACCTGTGTGTTTGCCAGTGGTGTGCTCCAGCCATGTATCTGCCGTTTTCCAAGTGATCCCCAAATGTGCGAGCGAATTTCTCTGTAGAGTTCTCTCCTCCTGACACGAGGGGAGAGAGCAGCAGGAGAAGCAGATCTAGAGAGAATGCTTCTGGTGTTAAATCAGCTTGACTGAGCCTTACATTGACTGAGCCCTTTTTCATGATTATTTAATTTTGTTCCAAATAATTGTGTAAATAGAGGAGCACATGCAAGAGCGACATGGCCACAAACACTAGCTTACTCAGCGTGAGTTTGACGGACAGCCGGTAGTTGTGGAGACCCCAGAGGGGAGCGAGTGAGTGATGGAGAAGTTGGCAGGGCAAATGCAGAAGTAGGAGGCGGGATTAAGGGTCCCTTGGACAGGCCAAAAATG